ATCACAGGGCCACACTTAGAGACAGACAACCAAGCACACTCACATTCACACCTACAGACAATTTAGAATCAACATGTTTTTGGACTGTGTGGGAGGAAGCCGGAGAACCCGGAGAGAACCCACACTGCACGGAGAGAACATGCAAACTCCACACAGAAGATCCTGGTGCCTCCACCAGGACGCAACCTTCTTGCTGTGAGGCAACGATGCTAACCACTGTTCCACCTTGCAGCCCATTTTTGCATACATGGGAACATAAAATAAAAAGAAAAACAGAGAAAATGAAAAAAAAAAAAACATAACTGCAACATCATCACATTTCTAATAACACAAGTTGTTTTTACTAATTCAGCAGAAGTTTTGTTTCTAAACTGTTCTATCAGCCACAACATTCACCACCTTGTACCGCCTTGTACACACTAATGTGGATATTTTTCTAGATAGATATTTTCTCCAGCTTAAAAACATAAATAAATAAATCAGAAACTGACAAATAGAGTTTTTAAAAATCTTCACCTCAGAAAGCGTTCATAAAAACCACACCCTTACTGACCTAAAATACTGTTGGTGTGTAGATGAGGGATGTAATTACAGTGTGTAGTGGTCACTCAGTTAAATGTTGTTCATAAGTTACTCCCCTTTCAATTTCTCCCTCATAAAACTGGTTTTCTTTGCCATCCAGGTGAAGGTTGCGGTTGAGAATGACCAAACCGCAGGTGAGAGCTGCCTGTTGTAGAGCAGACACTTCTGACTTTGTTGACTGCATGTAACGTCGTGGTTCTTTAGATCATTCTGCCAAGCCGGTCTTTATTTGTCAATGATATGAGGCACATCATTGAAAGCTCTTTCTCAATCAATTAATAGCTCCACTGAGAAGAAGCTATTATTCACTACATGATATATTTTACACAGAGTACATTTATTACTGTTAAATACATTTCATTATATGTGAAACACCAGCAAAATGAAACATTATAAATGTCCAAATAAAGATCCTGAAGACCCCCTACAATTACAGCCATCCAATCAATCAAACAAACATTGTTAGCAGGTCCACAGGGTGCTTTTTAACACACTAGAAAACACATCATAAGCAAAATAAGCCAGGGGTAAGCGTTGCTGCCTTGGAACCGCAGTGTACCAATCTAAATATCAGACATCCATACATAACACATCTAAGGAAACAATCCCGTGGGGTGGATGGAGAAACAGGAGGTGGCTATTTTACAGACTAAGAGATCTACACAGAATGGAAAATATAATCTAAATGTGTAATTTTGATGGCCAGAGAGGAGTTTTTAGGTTTTTAGCATTAAATAATGCAGGAGAAGAGCTTAAATGCTGCACAAAGGCTGATGTCATGACTTGTCTATTGGTCACCAAAAAATGTATAAAGTATTAAGTTATATTATTTTCTGTTGAAGCTTTCCTATGCAATGATGGCGGATGCTAATCTCAGCAATTGTTGACACGGCGATCTGGTTCACATTGAAGAGGCCGAACAAAGGGAGGTGATTATCTAACGGGAGACTGCATTGTGATGTTAAAAAAAAAAAAAGTCTTCTGCAGGTACAATATAGTTTTTATATATTTAGAAAGCAAATTCTGTTCTGATAACGCCTGCAAGTCTTAAAAAGCAGGTGTTCCTTTTAAACACATCGCAGTTTCTAACTATTTCTCTGCCGTCAAGCACGAAATATGAAAGTACTTAAGACATTTTCTCAAGGGGAGGTGCTAAAAGGTGAGGGCATGTTAAAACAACTAATTAATCAGGGGCACTATGGCAGGGCACAGACATGCCTGGAACTAGTTCCCAACCGTAGAACAGGAAATTAAAGGCTGCATCACGGATAAGAAAGTGACGACGAGACGAGCGGAGGACTGGAAATAATTCTCGGAGCTGAGACTTTACAAAGATGAGCCACATTAGTTCTGCAAAAGCAAAACAATGTCCAAGCATATGACCGAGATGGGGGCAGGAAAAGCTTGTGTACGCAGCGTATTCTCTGAGGATGAAGAACAAAGTCACACTTCTTTCATCTCTCCTGCGCTGTCTTTTTTTTTTTTTCTTTTCATTTTTCCTTGATCTCTATTTAAACTGTCCTCTCTTCAATTAGTTATGAAATCTAAATTGTCCAGGCAGCTGACGACCCCACGCTTATTTACATCCTTGTTACATCTTGCTTTGATCTCTATCCAGTGCAAAGTCATTAATCTTACTTCCCTCTGGTGTGTTACTTACTTGTTTTGTCCTTTACTTTTTTTTTTTTTTTTCCCCTCTGCGCTACCTCTTTGAGATCTATGCAGAGATTTTCATTTTATGGCAACTCAAAAAGCATCTCTGATATATACAGTATAAATATGGATCACATATACATAAATATGGATCAAATTCACAGCCTTGACCTCTTTTGCAACAATTTCCTTTGACTGCTGATGGCTGGACTGTCTGCTATCTTGAGGATTCAAGTCCTTCCTTTCTTTGTGTCCCTCTTTCTCTATGCGGTTTAGTCTCTCCTTATGATGACTGTCCATCAGATTTGCTTCACGGTTTCAATGTATATTCAATCTGGGTCTCTACCCTCCTGGAGACTCATCCAGTGGTCGCCCTGTCCTTCTTCATAGCTGCCTTTGCATCATATGCTGCCCATGACAAACTGCAGCACCTCTCATCTCTTTCTTTTCCCTCTGTGCCGATGGTATATTATATATACTTTATATTATACTGAGCTCTTGTGTATGTCAGTCCTCTTTGCAGGCCTCTGTGGTTTAGAGATGAATCTGTGTTTAAGGTCATTGAATACACTGTAAAGTCCTATAGTCGTTAGGCTTTACATTAGATTTAGTTTAACTTAGAGTAACATGCAAAGCAAAGGGCAGCATCATCAGCGCATTTCTCCCAAATGTAGCTGGTAGTTGCTGTTAATATGTGAAGCAGCCACATGGGGCCTTTAGGAGACGAGTTCAATCAAATATTCAGATTTGTTTGCCAGGCAGGCTTTGATGGAATCCATTTGATCATCAAGTGTCTCTTCATCTCTGGCTTTTGGATTCACAGTTTAAGAGGGCATTTTCAACGACTCTCTCGTGTGCTGTCATTTGAAAACACACAGTATAAAATGTATGTTTCTGCATATGACAGGCTCACGAACCTGAGCTACCCTGTTTCCACTTTAGTCCTGGCCGGAGAATTCTTGGCTGCACTGTGGAGTTTCTCTTCTTTAGCATGTGATGCTAACAGAAACCTCCCATTGCTTTGGCATTTAGTAATTGGCCTTTTTTATTCTATAATGGCAACAAGCTCCAACATCTAAAAAGGGGGAAGGGGATCTTCAGTTATTACCTCAGCTGTACCTGGCTGGCATTTGTGTAAAGCACAGGATTTCTCACGGGGACAGATCTATTGCTATGTCGCTGCTGGTGGCTTCAGAGAAAGAGGATCTCTGTGTCAGGGCAACCTTAACCTTTCATTATTTTACCAGCAGGAACACTTCTGAGCTTTAGTAAGGGACAGGACACTGGAGGCGTGCTCCTCTAACCCTAACCCCCTAACAACAATTGCAATTATCCAGTTTAATAAATTGCATAATCCTTCAAGGGTCAGCAATTATCCAGACAAGAAAAGCGTTAGTTGAATATTAAACTAACTTAATATTACACACTAAAACTATTTACCTATCAGAAATAAGAAACACTCTCTAAACAAGTCTCAAAAATGTGAAATGTGTTTCTAGTGTTACTAATAATGAAGAATAAAACTGAATTCTGAGGGAAAAAAGGCTTAAGAAACCCATCCTCGTGTAGAGAGTTTGGCAGAAAAACACTGAAGCCACTGCAGGGATTGGATGAAACTTACTCAGAAGCAGACGTCTCTGTTTAGCCACACTGTTTTCCCCCCTATTCCCTGCTCAGCTCTGTTTTTATGTATTGCATTAATTATTTACTCATTCCTTTTTGAAGATGTCCCCAGAGATACGTTTTGTTAAAAGCATAGATAAGTAATGATTGACCGCATCGTACTTAACAGATTTTTTTTTTGCTTGGACAATATGTTTAGATGGGGTTGGATATTCGTGCACTCCACCTGCCCCAATGGAGCTCAGGTCGGCTGCACACACTGACTCATCCGCCAACTGTTTGCACTGAAGAATTTCCACAACCAAACACTCCCAACACAACACTGCCAAACAACAGTTTCACTGTTTCGGCAGGTTCGGGAGAAAGAAACCACATTTAAGCCACCAGCAGAGAGGGAGCGGGTGGGACCTAATCAACAAATCTGGTGCACTGATGTCACAGTACGTCCCTCGAATTATTCACTAGACCTGGAGCACTTAACCATTAGCTGTTATCCCTTCATTTACCTCAGGAGTTCTGCACTGCGATTATAAATGCAGATTAAAAATGCATGAGGATACTCATCCCGAGGCTGTTTTTTTTTTTTTTTTTTACCATGGCAGAGATCTTGCAGACTGAAATTTACACAAGGTCTTAGCAAAATATTATTAGCCTTATCCTGTCTGGCACATAGTAATAAAACCTAGGGCCATTGCATTTTAACTATTAAAAGGGTCAGTCACTCACTTTGGCACTCGGTGCAGATATATATAAGCAGCTCCAGAGAGTCCCTGTGCCAGAATGTAGTGAACTGGCTGAGCGTTTGATTTTTATGGGTGGGCCCTGACAATCCCAGTCACACTTTAGGACTGTTTAATGCAATAACGGAACTTCATTCAGTGCCATTCACTCACTTTGTGTTAATTGTCACCCAACAGCTTAAGTTTCTATTCATAAGAAAGAGTGGTACAATTCTATCATCCTACTGCGCCAACAAAGTTCACACACACTTGGAAAACGGTCCGGGAGTATCGGTTTTGGGTCATTCACCACAAGGTCATGTGAAATCAAACTGCTCAGTTCTCCAAGATGAGGTTTGGGAGAAGGGCTGCTGACAGATTCACAACCGCCGATCTGATCTTGAGGAAGTCACTAGAACTCTGTCAGGGCCGATCCAAGGAACTCACTAAACCCGCCAATCGGTTGTAGCCGTGGGCGGTGTGTACAAAGGGCAGGGGCTTAATCAGCACAAGCTTGTGACCCGTGCTTACAGGGAGTTCCTAGATATGGGAAAAAGAAAAGAAAAAAATGCATTTCCCAATCCCTGTCACCAGTGTGGTTCAGTGGGTTATCCATGTCTCTTGGCAAAGGGCAGGCACACACTGATTCACTCAGCGTGGCGCATGTGCAGCCCCGGACATCAAAGAGCATCACAGACCTGGTATTTCCTAATATTGTGAGTGTCCATCTAAGAGGCTGGACTCTATTCACTTGGGACTGTGTAAATAGTTACTGTGATGGATTCTTGTTTCTAACCGGAGAAACTGCTCCACCAGCTAAGACCAGCCACGCACCATCACCCACAGAATCAAAAAAAAGAGCAATCAATCTGTCAATTCCTTCCGTGTGTGGGCCGGGTGATGTTTCCCGTACGGCAAAATGGTGTTCCAGGTCTTGGTAGTGGGAGTATAGTGAAGCAGAGGAGACAGCAGAAGGAACAGCCACAAATAAATTAGATAGCAACAATAATTATAATAATAAATCACTACCAAAAAAGAATATGAAAATAATAAAGCAGCTTTTTTTTTTTTCAGGAAAGGCCTAATTTGTGTGCAACAAATTAACATAAAAATTATCTGCACACACAAAAATAGGGGAAAATGTAGATTTTGGTGCTTAATGTCCTGACTGCTGTCCACATCTCTGATTTGCTTAAGAAATTCATGGAGCTATGGAGTTCTGCAGCAGAAGGGAAAAAAACATGCAAACAAATGACCAGTCAGAGATTTGTAGGTGGGACTGTAAATGGGAAAATCATCTTATTGCATAGCAAGCTAACAATATATGTCCATGAAAATAGTGAAAAAATTATCAGGAAAAAAAACCAAACAGGGCTGCAAGGTGGAGCAGTTGGTAGCACTGTTGCCTCGCAGCAAGAAGGTTGCCGGTTCGTGTCCCGGTGGGGGCACCGGGATCTTTCTGCGTGGAGTTTGCATGTTCTCCCCGTGCAGCGTGGGTTCTCTCCGGGTTCTCCGGCTTCCTCCCACACAGTCCAAAAACATGTTGAGGTTAATTGGTGATTCTAAATTGTCCGTAGGTGTGAATGTGAGTGTGCTTGGTTGTCTGTCTCTAAGTGTAGCCCTGTGATAGACTGGTGACCTGTCCAGGGTGTCCCCTGCCTTCGCCCTAAGTCGGCTGGGATAGACTCCAGCCCCCCACGACCCTAGTGAGGATAAAGCGGTGTATAAATAATGGATGGATGGATGGAAAAAACAAACAACATGACAAGGATGGACACAAGTATAGAGACAGTGTAAGTTCAAAACTTCCAGAAATGGGCCGAGGTGGACACAATGCAAACAAGTGGTTCAAAATACACTGCAAGTGTTTGAAGAATCCCACAGGAACAGTGCATTATTGTTTCTACGTATATGTGAATTCTGTTTTTTTTTTTTTAAGGGAAACTGGGTCACAGTCGCAATGTATTGATTGCTATGAATCCCAACTGACTCTACCTGCTGAAAGCTGCAAACTACAGACGCTTTAGTGCCACCTTACAAGCCTATAGGGGCGCATGTTTTACACTCAAAACACAAGTGTTTGGTGGAATATTCCCTTCTGGGAATTTGCAAGTTTCTGTACAGTAGTAGTAGTCGCTTGCCAGCTGAGTTAGCATAAGACTTTGCACCCACAATAATGTGACTGAAAAGCAGCTGATCTACTTAGCATCTCCTTACTGTCACACACTTCCCCTCATGCACATACACATCGGGAGGAACAGTGCAATATGTAATTAAAGCTGATCCACATTGTGCCAATGATCTGCACACTTGTAATTAAATCTAATCTGAGTGTGTACGTCCTTAGTGCAAGCATGTGTGTCCTTAAGCGCGAGTGTGTGTAAGTGTGTGTTTAATGTCATAAGGCCAGAGCAGTGTAATGCCACACTCCTGTCCAGTTAATTAATTCAAATGTCCACCCTTAATTAATTTCACACAGTGGATTGTGACCGTTCCCCTGGAAACAACCTGTGAATAAATAATACCTGCGGGGACAAGGTGTGTGCTGTGGTGTGTGTGAACGTAGTGACAGTGTCAGCTCATATATTTTAAAGGAGGTAAGTGTGTGTTTTCAGCACAAGCGCATCAGAATGTATTGCTCGTATGTTAAATGTGTGTCAGCCAGAATTTACTTAATGTGCGTACAAATGAATGTCAATTACGTGTGGGCGGAATATGTAAAGGTTTCAATATATTATGTAAAACTGTACTGAGGAGTTTAATATCCCCAATGGATCAAACATGTATGCATATCTATATGTGGTAAATGGACAAATAGGCGTTTTCAACCTTTCAATCTAGATCCATAGAATGATGAGGAGGTTAGAAAAAAAAGGGATTTCATGTGAGAGAAGACGTTTTAAATCACTGGTCACACCAGACGGACTTATCTGTTCAGTAACAGTCATCATGCAGTGATTCATGCTAAGTGTAGTTACCATGAATCCCTCTCATGTCAGAGCATACGTTCTACATACTTAATTTGACATAGCGATTACACTGAACAAATGCTTTGACACACTTTAGTAAATGCATACTTCTGGCTGTGGAATGAAGCATCTCTGTCTTCACTGTCCTTTTACCTAATATAGGCCCTCATTTTTTCCACTGATGCTATCGTTGAAACTAGCTGTGGGCTAAAAGATAAATTTGTCTGTACAAAGCTATCTGCGCGCCCGATCATTATGCCAATTACTGCGCAGAAATCAGGATTGGAGGGTGTTCAAACTTGAATATACAGAGAAATATCAGTTCTTCATGCTTTAAAGCGAAGCATTGCATTCGTTCTTTTTGCATAGATTGCGGCCGTCGTATCATAGCCAAGGCCATGGCTGTTACAGAAGGATAGAACAAGCACGGGGCTATATAGAGCTAACTTTAGGTTTAGGTAATAAAGGCTAAAATAAAACAGCACTCAAGAAGAAACCCAGCCAACTATGAATGACCCTGAGTGTGTGTAGTTCACTAAATCAAATGTTAACTGGAGAGCTGGCACACGGCTGATGGCCTTGTGCTCAATGGTTACTACTGTCTTTATGCCAGCAATGCAGCATTTATGGATGTGGAGAGATGTGCTGCCTTGAGCCAGGATTAGTTACGACGAAGGGAGGCGTTCGAGAGCAGGTATTGCTCTTTCAGAATTTGTTTATTAAAGCAAGCGTATAATGCAGCTCTGAATAATCGAGGCTGAACAACATAAGGTGAAGAAAAGTCCCTATGCAGGTGTTACATATGACAACGTGTTTCCTTTTAAATGAAAGGCATCCTGACAGTTGTGGGAATGAACCAATTGAAGCTCCAGTGATGAAAGATGTCAAGGTGCTGCATGACACATGACCCACATGTTGTAAGCTGAAGTGGTTTACTTTATTATGACACTGTGCACAAAGTATGTAGGGTGACACATATGGATGGTCCAGTGCCATCTTTGTTGGCCAGTTCTTATGCTCGCAGGGTTTTTGGTTTGGAGCCTCAAACTCTCCGAGGCAGAAGTACAATTTGGCTTGACAAACAAAGTCGGACGAATATTTTCGATGGACTTTTGGTCAATCTATTTTAACGACAGCATTATCAAAATTCCTCGGTTTAACATGGCGCGGCATGACGTGCCCTTTTTTTCCAGTCAAGTTTTGTGATGAGGGGATTTGTTGCGGCTTTTAGATGATGTGACCTCTGAGACAGCAGCTTTAGGGAGGAATGGAGTGATCTTTAAGACCAAGGAATTAATATTCCTATTCATTTTGTCTCGTTTCCTCTCTCCTCTCAAGGGCCAATGTGACTTTCATTCTCCTGACATTCTGAAAAATGCTGTTAAATGTTAATGGAGACTATTTTTACATGGGTCGTGACCACATCTGGCGCACACATACATGCCAGACACTCGCACACACTGGACAGCCGGGAGTTTGGACATTTGCCCATATGGACAGGACAGGCAAATATGTAGAAATGTCAGACCCACACACATACACACACCCACATGAAAACAGCGTGACAATATTTTGGCTTTCAGAAGAAAATTATCAAAAAAATCCACACTTTTCCGGGAGCCAGTAACCTCTGCAAGCCTTTTTCAGATAAACTTTTTGTTCTGCTTTTTCTATTATTTTTGATTTAGTGGCTGCATTGAATTCTGATTTGATGTCTTTTTTTTCATGTTGAGGAGGACACAGAAAAAGCTTCTGACAAACCCTCAGCACACGTTGGCACAGCGCTCTCATCCTCTGACAGTCACTTCAGCCCGAAGGCTGGAGAAATGCTCATGTAGTGAGGGTCCCCCCGCTAAAGCTGACATGCTGCGTGAATCAAATACACTTTACATTTGTTGAACTCGGAGACACCACACATCGAGCGTTCTTTTAATGGTAGACGAGTGCGTTCACCTTTTTGAGCAATAAGAAATGGAAATAATGAAATGTAGTGAAAGACGGCAGCGGCTCATTTTGTCCTGAAGCATTTCAAACTGGTGAATAGAAATCCATAATAGGAGTCACAGCTTCGGTGTGACTTTTTTTTGATAAAAAAAAAGGAGCGAACCAGTTAAAGTATCAACACTTCAATTATATTGGGTGAATCCTGAATGTCCGCCAGGTGCAACTATTTCACATTCGAGCAGAACAGACACTAAAAGACTGAAAAATCTTTTGACAGGTGTCCTTGTACAGTAATTGAAACACTGTATTGCCCACTGCTGGTACGCAATAATTCATCACACATACTGATATTCTGACAGCATCCATTATCACCTAAATTGCATCTGAGTCCCTCACCACTAAAGACTCTTCATGTGGCACTGAGACCAGTGGACTCCAAGAAGGTGCTGCAGATGGTTGCCTCAGCTCATTGCTCTCTCTGACTTTGTTTATAACCCGAGGAGGTCATTCCTCTGCCGGGGCAGAGCTGAGGCAGGGATATGTGTCAGTTTGTCAGTCTGTCTGTCAGGAGGATAACCTAACAATTACCGAGCCGGTTATCGTGAGTCTTGGTGCAGCCTATGCAAAGAGAGAATTCAATAACCTTTGTTGCAGATCTGGTTTGGATGGCGAAATCATAGAATAGTGGACTGTTGGTATTTTTACTTTAGTTTATTCTTTCTACTTCGTTGCACTCACTGCTACAGAAGAAAAGAACTTTAACAGACAGGACAAGACCCTAAGTCAGGGGTGTCAAAATCCGGTCCTCGAGGGCCGCAATCCTGCATGTTTTAGACGTTTCCCTCTTCCAACACACCTGATTTTAATGATCAGGATCGTATCAGGCTTCTGCAGAGCTTGATGATGAGCTGATCATTTGAATCAGGTGTGTTGGAAGAAGGAAACGTCTAAAACATGCAGGATTGAGGCCCTCGAGGACCGCAGTTCGACACCCCTGCCCTAAGTAATTCTGTATCTGATCTTGGACATCTACAAAACATTTTTTCTGTCATTGAAAAGCTGCTGCTCTCTGTTGGATGGAGAGGGAACCGAGACGGGAGCCGGGTCGCTGGTAAGGCTGGGTCGCAGGTAATCAGGGCTGTGTTTCCGGGTGTACAAACGGCGAACCTGCCATCTTTGTGCAACAAGATGGGTGAGCTGTGACTCCTCTGTGGATCTAATATGGATCCTTCTTACTCTGCTGCTCTCTGCTTCACAGAAACCTGGTTGAATGAGCTCATCCCAAACCATGCTGTCTCCCTGGAAGACGAGAGGATGTTTCTTTGTCAATCAGGACTGGCGTACCGATGTCACAGTGTCAAAAGTACACTGCTCGCCAAATTTAGACCGACTTCATAAACCAAAAGTCATTTCATTCACTGAGGGAGTTTTCGTCAGTCACTCTGGTCGGTATAATCCGCCGCACGCTGCTGTGAGCATGACATTATGTCACCTGGATGATCAGATTATTGAGGTGGAAAGGACACATCCAGACTCCCTTATCATCATCCTTGGGTACTTTACCAGAGCAAACCTTAGCCACAATACGCTTAGAAAATGCCCTACCAGGGAGAAAAATACCTCGCACCATTGCTACACAGTAATAAAAGATGCCCATCAGTTTGTCCTGCTGATCTGGACGAGCTGACTGACACTGTGACATTATGTGTCAGCGTTTGCAAGGACATGCACATTGCCACTAGAGCGAAACGTGTCTACAACAATAATAAGCAGATCCGTGAGGCCAAGAAGGAAGCCTACAAGACAGTAGACAAGATAGCTTACAGGCAACAGAAACACAAACTGGACAAGGGAATCGGAGTAGCTAAAAGACGACCACCAGGTTTGATAGACTCCTAGACTCACAAAGCACTAAGCCCCAGATCCTTGACTGAAACCTTGTGGTAGTCTAACAGCTAACCACATAGAAACAGGCTACTTGCAAGGTGCCCTTTCTTCTTCCTTCTTCCAAACAGGTCTGTTGAGGATGAACATCACATTGCAGAATATCTGTCCTCTCCAGGGACTTCTACCAGGATTCTGTTCATGGACTTCGGCTTGTCTTTCAACACAATCATCCCAGACATGAGATCACCAGAGACTGACCCAACTCATCTCTATCAGCCCTGCTTCCACTCTTCAATGACAAGCCTCCCTCTACACTAATGACTGAACCTCCAGCGATCGCTCTGTCAGGCTCTGTTGGAAGATTTGGGACGATACAACACTCATCAGTGCCGTCCAGGACAATGACGAGTTCACATGTAGCTGAAACAACCTGGAGCTCAACATGCTCAAGACCCTGAAGATAACTGCGATCTTCAGGAAAAGCCATTTAAAGGAAGGTGTCCATTCAGAAAGTTCAGACTTCTGCAGGATCTCCCACAGTCTTCTACATTGCTATTGTATGTAAGAGGGTTCATAATGTATGTTTTTCACTGTGTGAGTTGTTACCTGCTGGAAGCCATTCAATAAAGCGTGTCACGACACCTTTGTAGGTGGATTGTATGCATCAATCAATACATACAATACAGCTGCTGAAAATGGAAAGCGGTTTGAATGAAATGTTCCTCCCAGTTAGACGTCCTATTGACATTATACCTACATAACAGAATGGATATACATTTTTATTATAGCTGCTTTTAAATGAAAGGCACCACCCAAACAGGGCAGCTTTATACACAGATGAAGAGTGCTGTGGACATAAAAACATGTCACTCTCTGCTCTTCACACACCTACAAATAAAAGAAGATAACACACAAAAAAAGAAGCTATTATTCTGTGAAGAAACCTGCCTGTGCCACGCGCTCTAGGTGAAATGCAATTAAAATCAACTTTGCTTGACAGTTGGACTTTGCGCCTCTTCTTTTTGTTATCACAAACAAAAGACATGCACAGAAAGTCAAACAAACAGAATATTTCCTGCAGTTATTCTTCAGAAGAAGTTGCAAGCGCGAGCCACCCTGGGCAACACGCTATTAAAGTCAAACGAAACCCCCACTGTAACAGTTCCACTTGCCACAGTGCAACAGTTCCACAGCAATAGCCCTGGAATTATAGCCTATATACCAAGGTCTGCATCCGTTCAGTTACATTTACCCCAGATTGTTTACAATGCTGCAAAGTCAAAATCAATAGGGCCTGCCAAGACGGGAACAGCCTAATGTTCCATTAGAACTCTCTGCTATTCAATTACAGCTCCAGAGTTGGAGAAGTTTCAGCTAGCTCAGGTCCCCAGAGGAGAAGCACAGAGAAAGTATGAGGCAGAGAGAAGGAGTAATAAATCTAAAACTGACAAACGGCAAAAATAAAGTTATGGCATCCTCCCACTTTCGCCCACCCCCCCCATATTTTCCAGTATTCCTTGAAGCTGCTCTACAGGATGTGGATGAGAGAAGTTCTTTAATCGTCGCTGCTTTGGACTTTTTCATTATGTTTCACGCGGTTGTTACTGTTTTTCAATCTCACTCATCTGTTTTGCAGTTTTTATTATCTGTTTATTGGGCTGCCCGCTCTAAAACATGACTTAATTTATTCCTTACCACTCTGCTTCTACATGCATATATCTGTTCTATCTCTACTGTGTGTGCCAGGGATTTTTTTTTTTTTTTTTTCTCTCCCCAGGAAGCGAAGCCTTAACCAGACAGTCTGCTATAACTAGGCTTGTCTCCAGAGAGCCAGCATCACTACAGGACTAAGAGAGAAAGACAGACCAAAAACGACATAGCAAGAAGGCCACAGAGAGAGAAAGAAATGTCATAGAGAGGGGAGAGAGGGAGAAGGGGCCAGATAAAAGCGACATAAAAAGAAAAGTCGACTCAAAAAGATAGAGATGGACAGCAAGAGAGCGGAATAAATGAAGTTTTCTTCATGCCTCCTGTGGTGATGATAGGTCGTCATGGGGTCCCTATGGGAACAATTATAGGGCCTTGTGGCAAGAGTCAGTGTTTGCGTGTGAATGTATGCATTTATGTGTGAAGAAAATGTCTTTGTGGGAGTAGAGGAGCGTGAGATAGATGACAAAAATTAAAATGCACCAACACGCCATGAAATACCCCACAAAACCTGCTGCTCTTAAGATCATCTAACTGCCTCTGACTTCCAATTTAACCGTCCTCCAAGCAAATACATGCTTTTAGATACAGTACAGTAGGCACTGGCGATACAATTATGGTAACATGTACTGGAAATAGACGCTTCATCACTGAAAATTCTTTTCATAAATGCGTTACTTTCAAACTGCAATGAAAACATACAACAAAAAGTCCAGCTGTGTGAACAAATCCCTCGTGTGCTCCCTCCCTAGCTTATGAACAGCCCATTATGTCCCTTAGTAATGGAGCGCTTTCTCTTGTTGTCGCCCTCCCCGTGGCTTTCATGCAGGTCTTCTGAGCCGCGTTAGTCCACGACCACCCGGGTCTTCTGTTACCTTCATCTATGCCCGCAGACTTCCACTAATTGTTTGGCCTTGTGAGATGGGCGTCACGGTCTAATGACACCCCTGTTTCCCCCCTCCCCACCATCTCCACATGTAGGCGATCAGAGTTGAAGGCTGACAGGCTTGATGTCAGGGTGCATTGAGAAGCGGGTTGGGAGTCACCATCTGGAGACACCTGGTCCAGGCCAGAAGTAGGAACTTTAACCTCAGCGTGTAGAAGCGTCGCCCTGGTCTCCCTCCATATGCCTCCAAATTGTATTTGCTTTCTTTACTTGAAGTCTATCAAGGTGAGATTAATTCTTTTGTCCTTATCTATTTTGATTATGTTTGTAAATGTACTTATTTGTTTGATTTTCATTGTTGTCTTAACATTAAAATTATCTGTCTCCCTTAATGAATAGGCTAAATGGATTCAATTTGACGTGAGGTGGTTCAATTCAAATTAAACCTTTTATTTTTTTCCCCCCATGGTGCTGTCGATTAAAAACTATCAGTAATTATTGGCATCAACATCTGTTAGACAAAGAGAGAAAATATATAATAAAACAAGCTGAAAATCAAACACTGCAGCCACAGACAGTTACAGGAAGTCCATCAGGTGGCCCTGAATTACTCCCCCCACTGGATCACTTAAAGACCCTTTGCTGTTGCATGTGTCGTTTGCATAATTAAATGCTACTGCAGCCAGTTAACATGTAGCGGTAGGAGTGTAATTTGTAATGTCAAAATGTAGGATTTATCCAATTTGAAAGTGGCGCCAAATGTCAACAGGCTTCGAGGGCAATAAACAATCAAAACTGGCAACTTGTGTGCATTTGGTATAAATGTACAATATGGCGGACCAACAGCTGGATCTTGCTCTGCATACTCTGGTACAATAGATGACCATTCGCACCTTCAAGTTGGTCATTCCTGAAGGTAGCGCTGGACATTCTTTTAGCTGAACTCTCCATGTTGTTTTGCAACCCACAAAAGATGACATAATCAAAGAGCGTGTGAACGGCACTGAAGCGTTAAAATCATGACAAGGGACATAACCTTATCCATCTTGTTCTCGTGCAGCCGAAACAGGCCATTACATTGTCATCAGCCACCTGTCTGCACAGCTCATTTGACAATTCTCCTGTACTATTTGACATAGTCTACGTTGCCTTGTTACCGAAGGAGATTGTCATCCCAAGAAAAAAAAACATCAGCATCAGTCATTTCAAGTGCCACAAAATGGCATATGTTTACGTTGAGATGACAA